ATACTTGTTGACAACTCGTTGCAAGTAATACAAAACACCCTACTATGCTGCGTATGTTCTGGGTGGGTAAAGGGAATAATCGATAAGGTGTATCTAGATATTTACTAATTTTTTACCTTTAGGGCGGTCCAATTAGGTGTGTATGTAACTATGACTACTATTCGCGAGCTCAAGCAGATCGCGAGACAGAGAGGGGTGATCGGTTACTCCAGAATGAGGAAGCCAGCCTTGTTGAGATTACTTAACATACAAGCCCCTCCTACGGTAAAACAATTAAAACAAGCAAAACAGCTTGGGCTCACGGGTTATTCAAACCTGGGGAGAGCCGGGTTAATCACATTGTTATCACATGCCCCAGTCACACATACAGAGACCATAGACGCATCAATCGATACCAGTTTTCAGCAGATACGAGAATACTTAGAACGCTACACACACTTGGGGTCCGGGTGGGCTGTAGATAAAATCGATAATGTCTATCTAGACATAGCTAAATATGTGCCGTTCAGAGGTGGGTCATACCTAGACTTGCCCCCCTACTATAGGAAAAACATGCCATGGTCAACGTCAAGAATAGAGGAGACAATTGCCTGAGGGTAGCTATCAGGTCAGCCTTGTTTCCAGCTGACACTAATTCGAACAGGCTTTCTAGCTATCCCCAAGACGATGGGCTCAACTGGGATGGTATAGATGAACCCACCCCCATACCCCAGATAACTAAAATAGAAAAACAGAATAATCTAGCTATAAATGTCTTTGGGCACGAAGGTAACACAACAATAGTGCACAGAGTAAGCCCAGTGTTGGGGAAACGCGTTATCAATATATTCATGATCCAGCGAGGTGACAAGTACCACTATGCGTGGCTATAACACTTTAGCAGGCTGTTGTATGACCAATCGGCACACAGAGAAAAGAGCCACTTCTGCGAACGGTGCCTACATGGCTTCACACGAGCTGATTTATTAGAATCCCACCGGGAGGATTGCCAAGGTGTGGGGCAGGCGCGCTATCACGAGTCGACATGCCTAAGGAAGGTGACAATATCCTAAAATTCGGTAACCACAAGAACCAAATGTCTGTGCCTTATATCATATACGCCGACTTTGAAGCCTTGGTCAAACCTGTTGAGGCTGTTGGGGATACCCCAACCACACAGAAAATACAAGAGCATGAAGCCTGTGGGTTTGGATACGTAGTCGTCCGTTGTGATGGGAAAACGAAAGCTCCCGTAGTGTACAGGGGTCCCGAGGCGGTTGAAAAGTTTCTAAAGTGTTTGCAGGAGGAAGAAAAAATTGTTAGAAATGCACTGTATTCAGTCGCCCCAATGTGTATGACCAAAGCCGACTGGCTAGCTCACGCCTGTAGCACTAATTGTCACGTGTGTGACTCACCACTGAACGGCGGTAAGTATAGAGGCGCCGCTCACAGCGCGTGCAACCTCAACCTTAGAATCAACCCTAAGACAATAAACATCCCCGTGGTCTTTCACAACTTGAGAGGGTACGACTCTCACTTAATCATGCAGGCCATCGCGAAAATCGATGGCAATATAACGTGCATCCCCAACAACATGGAGAGATACATCTCCTTCAGCTTAAACTGCCTGAGGTTCATCGACGCGGTTCAGTTCCTCCTGTCGTCACTCGACAGTCTGGTCAACAATACCTTCCCTATCACCGATCGATACACCGACGCCGAGACTAGACCCCTGTTGATGAGGAAGGGTGTGTACCCCTATGAGTACATGGATGGTTGGGCCAAGTTCACCGAGACCAGACTACCCCCCATCAGAGAATTTTACAGCAATCTGACAGACTCGGCAATATCCCAAGACGATTACTCACACGTTATTAACGTATGGAATAAACTGGGCTGTAAGAATCTGGGTGACTACCACGACCTGTACTTGAGGACAGATGTACTGCTGTTAGCCGTCGTGTTTGAGACGTTTAGGCGGACATGCTTCAAGCAGTATAAACTCGACCCTGCATGGTATTACACCAGCCCAGGTTTGTCGTGGGATGCCTTGCTGAAAAAGACCGAAGTTAAGTTGGAATTGCTTACAGATTATGACATGCACCTATTCATTGAGAAAGGCTTGCAAGGTGGGATCTCCATGGCAACCAAACAATACGCGAAAGCAAATAATCAATACGCGAAGGGTTATGACCCGAGCAAGCAAACTAATCATATTCTCTACCTCGATGCCAACAACCTGTATGACTGGGCTTATGAGCCAGTATCTACCCACAGGGGGATTCGAATGGGCATCGCACGAGGTCGATGTTATGAGCATCGCAGCAGATTCAAACAAAGGTTATATCCTCGAGGTTGACTTGGAATACCCCAAGGCATTACACACATCACACAACAGCTACCCCTGGCCCCGAGCGTATGAGGGTTAACCCAGACTGGATGTCTGAGTACCAACATAACTTGTTAGGTGGGCGGGTGGCAGACTACCCCAAGGACCATGCCATACACACAACGATAAATAAAAAGGTCCTAGGTAAGATGAAGGACGAGTGTGCTGGCACGCCCATAGCCAAGTACATAGGTTTGAGGCCTAAGATGTACTCCATCCTGAAGGCCGACAATGGTGAGATCCGGAAGGCGAAGAAGGGTGTTAAGAAGTGCGATGCTGAAACAACACTTCAAACCGCCAGATTCAAGGAAGCCCTGTTCAAGACCCGTACCTTTAGACATAAAATGAACACACTTAGAAGTGATGGGCATAGGATATACGGACTGACTATAAACAAGGCGTCCTGTCGCCGATGGACACTAAGCGTTGGATAGCTATTGATGGGATAAACGCTGCGTATGCGTGCGGGCATGAAGAAAATTGAACCAGGACATAGATATATATATGTCGGAACCAGAGAAAGTTTGAGGCTATTTACTATAGCTCGCATGGGTACTGGAAAGAGCTAGCTGTAGATAAGCTGGCTAAAATGTAGCGAGTACCGCCAGAGGATGCCAAAGCGTGGCTTGAAAAACAAGCCCTGTGGCGAGATCTATTTACGGCACCGCCTTCGTGCCTAGAAGGAAGTTTGGTATTAACATACCTAATAGCGTTCACCAGGCAGACCTACTGTTCCTACCCCACGACAAGAGGTACAAGTATGCCTTAACCGTCGTGGATGTGGCCAGTCGCTACAAGGAAGCCGAACCCTTGACCGCGAAAGATTCGGTCCAGGTAGCCCGCGGATTCGAGCGTCTATACAAACGCAGTCCGCTGACGTGGCCAACAGAGCTGCAAGTTGACCCCGGGTGGGAATTCATGGGTGTTGTGTCACACCTGTTAGACAAACACGATACAAAGGTCAGGCATGGCACGGCTAGAGCCCATTGCAGCCAAGCCATAGTTGAGAGATTCAATAGGACTTTGGGTGAGTGAGTGAGTGAGTGAGTTTAGTTTTACGCCGCACTCAGCAATATTCCAGCTATATGGCGGCGGATGTGATAGACAATGGCGGCGGATTGTAAATAATCGAGTCTGGACCAGACAATCCAGTGATCAACAGCATGAGCATTGATCTGCGCAATTGGGAACGGATGACATGTGTCAACCAAGTCAGCGAAACTGACCACCCGATCCCGTTAGTCGCCTCTTACGACAAGATAGTCGCCTTTTTATGGCAAGCACATGGGTTGCTGAAGACCTATTCTACCCCGGATCTTCACGGGTCCAATAGGACTTTGGCTGAGCGCTTATTCGGGCATCAGTATGCGAGGGAGATGGCCAACCCGGGGAAGTGATCGACTGAATGGGTCGCGAAATTACCCAAGGTGGTGTCGGCAATCAACCATGAAGTCACTCGTCTCACCGGCAAGAAACCGGCAGACGCTATCAAACTAAAATCAATAGTGGCAGAGTTGGCTGCTCCATTGTGTGGGAAAGAGAAACAGATACCAGATAGGGCCCTAGTGAGGTATCTATACCAGCCAGGGGGAACACGAGGGTGATAGCCGTAAGCGAGCCACTGATCCTCTATGGTCAGTCAAAACTTACGACATAGATAAAGTGGACATGAAAGCCGACGAGCCGAACTTGTACTACTCGAGAGATGGGCCAGGGAGAGGGCTTGTTAGAGAAGAATTATTGATCGTACCGTACGGCACAATGTTACCCCTGGGGATAGCGGCACGTGGAGATCCCAGAATAGACCCGTTAAACTGGCATACTTCAGCCATGTCCCCGGTAGTTAAGTGGTGCGGCACATTGGGCGTCTGGCATCTCAAACTTTTGAGTGCCGGGGGGACTCAAAAGCAGTAGGGGTAATGGTAGCTGGATCAAGGGTCCGACCAAAGCCTTATTTGTGAAATAAGGCTTTGCAGAGGCTTTTGTTGGACTTGATCCAAAAACCCCATTCCCTATACTACTACATTTGATGAAACATTTACTTACTTATAACCTTAGTTTCTTTTGGTGTATAAAATGTTGCTTTGAAACTCAGATGTTCTGCTAAGAAACAATGATGTACTCCTGATATTCATTCTCTTATTTGACACATTAGTGTTGGTTGTTCCACTTAACAGGATGAGAAACAACTATGCTGAAATCTATAATAAAAATATAAATATAACTAAAAGTTTCTTTAATTTTGTAGTATATGCTGATTATCATAGGGTCTTTTTTTTAATTTGATACAGTGGTAAAACTGTCAAGGTGGTGATGGAGACTCAGCTATGTTTAATGACAAGGCTTTCACAGAAGCGTTTCGTAAACCTTTGACAATAAACTTACTTTTCAGATATGAGAGAGTCGCATACCTCACCACCAGACAACCCCTGGTGATAGACAATGACTACAGCTGTATTCTGCATATCTGTAAATCAACTTAATAAAAATACAGTCTATAGTACATGAAATTGTTATGTGTATACCTGGGTATATGTCTGTGATCATAGTTATTTTGTGACGTACCAGAAACTCGACTTTGAAACACAATAAACACCCAGTACAGACCTCCCTGATTACTGATTCTGCTTACCCTGACCAGACTGTGTGTTGGAAGTACATTCACTATCTTCCATCGGCGGAGGAACCACACCGACAATCTGTGGGGAGTCTGTACCCCCTGTGTTGACAGGTTGATGTTCCATGTGGCCATTAGACAGTAGTCTGTGGAGGGCGTAGCAGCGGAATCTCTTGGTGTGACAGTTCCGCATCACACATGGAGGCTGGCCTTTAAGGAGTGTTTCAGCAGCCTAATGAAGTAGTATATAGTCATTACTGCTCAGATAAGTGGAGGACGTGTGTCACAATTAAAGATTAAATCTACTAATGTAAAGAGAACTGAAAATGGAATCTAACTGGATTGGTATTCTTAGTTACTTAGAAAAGTAACCTCTGATGAGAATCACTACGCCAATGGAGAAGGTTCCGCCACCACGATAAACAGCCAGGACACGTGCAATCAAATCCAAACACTTTATTGTCAAAGCCAAGGCGACACAGACAGACCGAAGAACCGAACATCAAACTGGGGAAGCGAGTTTATGTTTAAGGGAGATAACTCTAAAAGTCATTGTGTTAACTCGCTAATCACTAACTGCCAACTGGCGTAACTTCTCCTTCCTTCGTCTTATAAAAAAAATGATGGATGGGATCCATACATGTATGCATATGAAAGGGGAATACCAAATACAACGGGCCTATGTGGTAGAATATGATCACTAAAGATAATAACAGTAAACAAATGGTAAATTGTGGTTTAGACTCTTTGGAACAAATATGTCCTGTGAAATTGGATTATAACACTGACAAACTGAAAGGAAATGAGACCATCACTGAATAGACTGCCCTCCAGTCTGGGGATTATTCTGCCCCATCACATAAAAGCAACTGATATATGTAACACAGTATCACCAGAGGATGCTCCCGCACACATTACTCTAGTAAAGGATATAGTCTGAGAGGTGGCATGGCATCTGACGATTGCGACTGGACCGCCGCCAACTTTGGAGACATAGAAGGTTCTGATTGATCGATAGAGTCTGCTGAAGCATCTTCTGGATAGTCAGTGTTGCCAGTAGTGCGTCTGGTATGAATTCATGTCAGCATAATAGAGGGTCGGCTCTCTCTGCAGGTGTAGGGGCTCCATGATGACATCTGGTATAGGAGGTTGAGGAGGAGGTAGAGACTCTGGGAATCTGTCATGTTCATCTCCCACTGGCAGATATTGGAGATCAGCCGACAAGGTGGATGCTTGTTACAGTGAAGGTTTAGTAACAGAAGTAACACTCTGACTTTTCACTCTATAGGAAGTGTTTGAAGTTGTGATCCGGTGAATTTCACGAATGTTGCACCAGTCATTGTCAACTGCTGTGACAATGTAATGAATGAGCACGCGGGACTTGGAGCCATCGCTGTGAATGAAGACTATGCTTCCACATCAATGTCAGGCGTCAGACCCTGCTTGAGGTGGGAGTCTTAGACTTCTCACTTGATAAATGATTGGACACTACGTTGGCCATGTTGACTAGAATTAGATCCATGTCATGTATAGGCAACTGAGAGTTTATGTGCTGGTCAGCGTTGTGTCCACATTTCCCTGAAGCGGAGAAACCTCTGCTTCTGCTCCGTGAGTTCCAGGCGTGCAGTGGCGAGAAAGGTTGAGGCGAGGCGTAACTGAACTGAGGGTCTTGGCCAGTAACTCAGTTATGAGTTCTTGAACAGCTCTTTCTGCAATTGGGTTCTTATTCTTGTTCTTGACTTCGATCGATTTCAATAACTACACCATTTTGTTTCATAAACCTGTCATTAACAAGGGCTACAAAACCGGGGAGCTGGATCAGTTCGAATGACAGCAGGCGGTCCATCCATTGGGTGAACTTCACTGCACAAAGCAATAATTGAGCTGCGGAGTGTCGTGGCCTTCGTCATCGAGTAGACAGGACAGTGTAAGAGATGTGACACATTCCGGACTACAAGTATGAATTGCGGGTTCGCGGCCGAACAACGTCCCGCTCGAAACTGATTCAATAGTATCAGAAGCGGGTCTCCAGTGGACTGTTGGATCACTGTATGTGGTAAACTGCGAAGTGATTGAGGCATCTATGGCAACTGGCAGTGGTGTCTTCAATAGTCTTGTCAAGATCCAAGGCATAGAAATGGCGCTGTATGACCTGTTTCATCTGGTGAGTGGTGGGATGATTGAGTTGAATGTGCAGGGCAGTCAATGTCGGCAGACAATTTCCGCAGCGGTACAATGATCCGTTCTGTTAGGCGTGAAAAGGTTCCTCCTTGACAACAACAAATTAGCCGTCCAGCGCAATGGAAGGCGACCTGTAGGTAGCGTTGCGTCCCTGATGTTGAGTCAACTTCTTGGGCCGGGCGTGTACCTTGAGAGTGAGATGGGCATGTGTGCGTCGAAGATCACTGCACTCTGACTGGATGGATTTCCAGGCAGCTCTGCTAATGAATGGTAATCTTGACTCTCCAGTGATAAAGTCCTGAATGGAAGTGTCTGGACAACGAATCTTCGATACGAGCCCGCGAAGAGCAAATTTGACAAGTAGGTTCGCTTAAGTAATCTGGTGCATTTCTGCTCGTGAAATCCAAAGGCAGGTTCGCGGCACCTGCAAGGTGGCGAATAGATGCTTGATGGTGGCTCACAATGGAGAGGAATGTGTACACTTTCGTGGACTGGCAGAAAATTCTCCCCTGCACAATTTCTCAAAGGCTTGCACACAAGGCTTACTGTCGAGTGAGAACACAAGTCTTATGCTTTGACTGGATCATGTAAGGGCTGAAGTGTTTGACAGCTAAAGCGATGGAAAGTGCTTCTATTTCACATGGTAACCACTTCCTTGATGACCTCCGGGCTTGGAGCTGAAGAAACTGGCAAAGGAGAGAGGCTTGTTGTTTTAGAGGTAACATAGAGGGTAGCACCAACACCCTGTCTCTTAACTGAACCATCAGTGACAACCCATAACTGGTCACCAGTGCGTGGGAAGAGTGAGTACCACGACAAGTTGAGAGAGCCCTCTGAGAATCCCTGAACAGTTGGATGAGATCTTCAGTCCAATGTATTCGATCAGTTGACTGCTTTCCCGCATAATAGCATCATCAAGGGGTGCCAGGATAGATGAACAGTTGGGGAATAACTTCGTGCCAGCATTTTGTATGTCCCTCGTAGGACCGTAGTCCTTTCACTTTCTCAGGAGGAGCACAAGCAGACAATGTAGAGATCCGGTGAGGGCTTGCAGAGATCGTACCGTTTCTCCAGATCCAACGAGGGATGGTTGTGGATGTGGGTGCAATAATGGTCTCTGATGCAGAGATTTGAGACTGTTCTTGTGAAGAGTCTCCAGTAGACGTTTCCAGTTGCTGTATAGATCATCGAATTACCACCACAATACAAGTCATCAGCAAGTTTTACTACCACCCCTTCTTCAAGTAGGTGCAGCCAGAGTACCCACGGCACATCAACTCCTCCAAGCAGATCTCGGATCCAGGCATGCCCATTGCAGATCTTGCATACATTACGTACACCTCTGAAAGGGGTTGCTACACCACAGAACATCGAAGTCATGAGCTAAAGGTATCTGGTAGAAGGCGTTGGTGAGATCCGTGGAAATGAGGAATAAGCCACTGAGCAATCTGTAAGTAGAGTGGAATCAACATCCGGGAGAAGTGATGGTTGGGGCTTTGAATATCGATCCGACATCTCGAAAGCTGTAACTAGCTAAAGCAGCCTGAGTTTTCTTCACAAGAAAGGATGGGTTAAGGTACTCAGCAGTTACCCCAACATCTTGGTCGAACAAACACTCCTTTAGCTTCAAGATCGTTGAACTTGGCTTGCAACTCTTCAAGTTTATCTCTGGCATACTGGGGTACTCTACCTTTCCTTTGAGGAGGCAACACAGGGCCCATGTTGACTGCAGCATGTACAGGACCAAGCTCCATTATAACCTTTGAAGTTGGGATCAAAGACATCGTCATACTCATCAAGTAAGAGTTCTGAACTTCTGCAGGGGTATTTGGGGGTAGGGCATGATCGGATCAACTTAACAGCTTGAGAGAAACCACTTTGCTGTTTCTTCTGGGGCGACACATTTTGGCTAGTGATGACAGAGTCTGTGGGTTGTACTTTGTCGGGGGCATCTCACGACATGTCTCACCTGGCAGAAGTGTGCATGTTTCAATGACAAAGGCTCATCCGTCCAGGTTCCGGATGCGTATCCGTCCACAGACACTGGGAGCGATGTCAACCTCTGGCCAGTTTTGTTTCCCAATGGGAAAAGTTCTCAACCCTAGGTTCCAGAAGCGAGATGGTCATCATGTGTAGTGGACTCGGAGAAGAACTTCCAGCTTCGGCGTAGTCTCCTGGCCAAATAGTGGTGGGACTGTGCGCAGCTCTGAGGACTTTGGCGTCTAACTGTGTGTTGATCAAGCTTTGACTCCTTCCTGAATGGCTCCTAATCTACGATGACACGTTCACCTCGAAAGATTTGTGCGCCTAGCGGGTCTGGCATAAACATCATTCAATTCCATAAAGGGAATGCCTGCTAAAATGTCGACATCCAAATCCTCAACAACAAGACCCTCGAATGTGAATTCTTCCTGGCCACGAGCGAAGACAGCACTAACTTCCCCACAACTCTGAGGGGCGAAACACCATCTGCTTGCCTGGCTGACTGGGTGCTAATCTTGGCGTCAAGATCAAGTTCTTTGCCACAGATAACTTCACCATGTTCCCGGTGGCACCACTGTCCAAGGTAATGCGTGCCAAGTGATGTTGGTAAAAGGTATTGAGGCAGGGGAACTGAGATACTTTGGACTCTCATCACACCAACTGGTTCCTCATATTCTTTAACGTCGCAGTCATCATCAGGGGTTTGGTCATGACTATCGTGGGGAATCGTCCTCAAGGGCAGAAATAACGATCTGTCGAGCCTTAGCTAGATAGCGTTTATCACTAGCGGAAGGTAACTGCACTCACTCAGAAAATGGCGATCAGGTCTGTCAGCCAACTTGCACAAAGGACAAGACTTGTCAGTTTTCTTGTGAGGGAAAGCGGCAGGCAAGAGTGTTGCCGTTTGTCCTGAGTAGGGAATAACGTTGCAGTTCTCATAACTTTCATGTCCTGATTAGTCATAATTTCATCTTGAAGGGAGGACATGGCTTGAGAGATTTCAGGCTTTATGGATGCAAAGTGCGAGCGTAGTTCAGTGCCATAGCGTTGCTTAACCAATTTGGGTAAGTCCTTATGTATGAGGCTAAGCCACGTGAGCACAATAAAGTTCTCAAGAGATGGGGATAATTCTTCATCCTCAATGATTTCTTCCCCATGGTGTGTGATATTACCCCCAGTCTTCATCAAGTTATCTTCAACGAAGGCAACCAGACGCTGGTAAAGGTCTTCAGGACGCTCATCTGGTAACAAAGAAATGTTGGCAAAGTCCAGAAAATGTGATCCAGTTGACTGAAATCCGTAATGTAAACATATTTCCTGCCAAATGTTGCTGAGAGAGGATGACTTCTTGACAATGGTGCTTCTAGCAATAACAGGGCAATAATTGGCGATCTGGCCAAGCATAAGTTCAAGCATTGTCACTTTCTGTTCAGAAGTACGACGAATGGCTATATCAACATCATCTCCATCGTTTACAAAACCACGTCGAGGGTTATCACGAGTTTTCTTCGTCCAGGTCACACCATCCACCAAAAAGTGTGCAAAATTCTGGTCTAGTGACAGAGTGTAATGGAGATTTTGTTTCCAGTTCTCAAAGGAATTAACTGTCTCAGATTTTGTAAGACACCATTGCTTCGGGGTTCTATGTGTATGCGCCATTTTGGACAGTTACAACGATCACACGTGCTATCCAACCAATATGCTGACTGACTGACCGCTTACGTTTTTAGTAGTTACCGGGAAGCGTAGGTCATGTAGTTAATCCATATCGCTGCCACCACGCCAATGGAGAAGGTTCCGCCTCCACGATAAACAGCCAGGACACGTGCAATCAAATCCAAACACTTTATTGTCGAAGCCAAGGCGACACACAGACAGACCGAAGAACCGAACATCAAACTGTGAAAGCGAGTTTATGTTTAAGGGAGATAACTCTAAAAGTCATTGTGTTAACTCGCTAATAACTAACTGCCAACTGGCACTAGTTTGTAAATACAGGTATAATTCCTACCATCAGAACATGGACTCCACAGCTATCACTGTCTGTCTGAGGAAGTGTCTTGTATAGCATGTCACTCCATGTTTGCAATGCTTGGCCTGTCAGTTCACTCCTCACTGCCATGTACTGTCTGCAAACACATGACATACATGATGTAAACACATGCAATGTGCTGTACAAACCATAGCAGGCCAGGTATACATAATTTATACAATATGTTTATCCCATGTTTATTATGTGCTGTCTCCACTGATTGTACATCATGTGCTGTCTGTAACTGACCATATATCATGTGCTGTCTGCATCTGACCGTATATCATGTGCTGTCTGCATCTGACCGTATACCATGTGCTGTCTGCAACATGCCATATACCATGTGCTGTCTGCAACTGACCGTATACCATGTGCTGTCCGCAACATGCCATATACCATGTGCTGTCTGCAACATGCCATATACCATGTGCTGTCTGCAACTGACCATATATCATGTGCTGTCTGCAACTGACCATATATCATGTGCTGTCTGCAACATGCTATATACCATGTGCTGTCTGCAACTGACCGTATATCATGTGCTGTCTGCAACTGACCGTATACCATATGGTGTCTGCAACATACCATATACCATGTGGTGTCTTCAACTGACCGTATACCATATGGTGTCTGCAACATGCCATATACCATGTGCTGTCTGCAACTGACCGTATACCATATGGTGTCTGCAACATACCATATACCATGTGGTGTCTTCAACTGACCGTATACCATATGGTGTCTGCAACATGTCATACACCATGTGCTCTATGCAACATGCCATATACCATGTGCTGACTGCAACTGACCATACATCATGTGCTGACTGCAACTGACCATACATCATGTGCTGTCTGCAACATGCCATATCCCATGTGCTGTCTGCAACTGGCCATATACCATGTGCTGTCTGCAACTTGCTATATACCATGTGCTGTCTGCAGCTGACCGTATACCATGTGCTGTCTGCAACTGACCGTATACCATGTGCTGTCTGCAACTGACCGTATATCGTGTGCTGTCTGCAACATGCTATATACCATGTGCTGTCCGCAACTGACGATACATCATGAGCTGTCTGCAACAAGCCATATACCATGTGCTGACTGCAACTGACCGTATATCATGTGCTGTCTGCAACATGCCATATATCATGTGCCATCTACAACCATGTACAAACCATGGCAGGCAATGTATACATAATTTATACAATATGTTTATACCATGTTTATTATGTGCTGTCTCCACTGATTGTACACCGCTTGTTGTCTGCAACTGACCGTACATCATGTGCTGTCTGCAACTGACCGTACATCATGTGCTGTCTGCAACTGACCGTACATCATGTGCTGTCTGCAACTGACCGTACATCATGTGCTGTCTGCAACTGACCGTACACCATGTGCTGTCTGCAACTGACCGTATACCATGTGCTGTCTACAACATGCCATATATCATGTGCTGTCTGCAACTCACCGTATATCATATGCTGTCTGCAACTCACCGTATATCATATGCTGTCTGAAACATGCCATATACCATGTGCAGTCTGCAACTGACCGTATACCATATGGTGTCTGCAACATGCCATATACCATGTGCTGTCTGCAACTGGCCGTATACCATGTGCTGTCTGCAACTGACCGTATATCATGTGCTGTCTGCAACTGACCGTATACCATATGGTGTCTGCAACTGACCGTATATCGTGTGGTGTCTGCAATATGCCATATACCATGTGCTGTATGCAACATGCCATATACCATGTGCTGTATGATTTAAATACACGCTGTATACACCATGTTTATCCCCTGTACTGTCTGTTACCCACCATAAACCATGTGCGTACTGTGTATATATACTATTGACTATCACATGCATTGTATTCATCTACATCTGTCCTGTGAGAACGTACCTCCAGTGTGAAATAAGCTTGGATGTCTGGTCTGACTGTCTAGAGTTGATGACACCTACTGTCCTGTCTCTGACATTGGCTGCAAGAAGCACCCAGTGACTGTCTGCAACACACACTGGCATCAGCAGCCACGTGAATACCCTCATATCCACCTGTAACAGATATTGGGTGAGGTAAATACCCTAAGATCCGCCTGTAACAGATACTAGGTGTGGTGAATACCCTCAGATCCACCTGTAACAGATACTAGGTGTGGTGAATACCCTCAGATCCACCTGTAATATAGATACTAGGTGTGGTGAATACCCTCAGATCCACCTGTAATATGGATATTGGGTGTGGTGAATACCCTCAGATCCACCTACAACGTAGATACTAGGTGTGGTGAATACCCTCAGATCCACCTGTAACAGATACTAGGTGTGGTCAATACCCTCAGATCCACCTGTAACAGATACTAGGTGTGGTCAATACCCTCAGATCCACCTTTAAAATAGATATTGGGTGTGGTGAATACCCTCAGATCCACCTATAACAGATACTGGGTGAGGTGAATACCCTCAGATCCACCTGTAACATATATACTGGGAGTGGTGAATATCCTCAGATCAACCTATAACAGATACTGGGTGTGGTGAATACCCTCAGATGCACCTGTAACAGATACTGGGTGAGGTGAATATCCTCAGATCCACCTCTAACATAGATATTGGGTGTAGTGAATACCCTCAAATCCACCTGTAACATAGATATTGGGTGAGGTGAATATCCCCAGATCCACCTGTAAAATAGATACTGGGTGAGGTAAATACCCTCAGATCCACCTGTAACATAGATATTGGGTGAGGTGAATACCCTCAGATCCACCTGTAACATAGATACTGGGTGAGGTGAATACCTCAGATCTACCTGTAACATACATACTGGGTGAGGTGAATACCCTCAGATCCACCTGTAACATAGATATTGGGTGAGGTGAATACCCTCAGATCCACCAGTAACATAGATATTGGGTGAGGTGACTACCCTCAGATCCACCTGTAACAGATACTTGGTGAGGTTAATACCCTCAGATCCACCTGTAACAGATACTGGGTGAGGTGAATATCCTCAGATCCACCTGTAACAGATATTGGGTGAAGTGAATATCCTCAGATCCACCTGTTACATAGATACTAGGTGAAGTGAATACCCTCAGATCCACCTGTAACAGAGACTGGGTGAGATGAATACCCTCAGATCCACCTGTAACAGATTTTGGGTGTGGTGAATATCCTCAGATCCACCTGTTACATAGATACTGGGTGTGGTGAATATCCTCAGATCCACCTATAACAGATACTGGGTGAGGTGAATATCCTCAGATCCCCCTGTAACAGATATTGGGTGAAGTAAATACCCTTAGATCCACCTCTAACAGATACTGGGTGTGGTGAATACCCTCAGATCCACCTGTAACATAGATACTGGTTGAGGTGAATACCCTCAGATCCACCTGTAACAGATACTGGGTGAGGTGAATACCCTCAGATCCACCTGTAACATAGATACTGGGTGTGGTGAATACCCTCAGATCCACCTGTAACAGATACTGGGTGTGGGGAATACTCTCAGATCCACCTGTAACATAGATATTGGGTGTGGGGAATACTCTCAGATCCACCTGTAACATAGATATTGGGTGTTGGGAATACTCTCAGATCCACCTGTAACAGATATTGGGTGAGGTGAATATTCTCAGATGCACCTGTAACATAGATATTGGGTGTGGTGAATATGCTCAGATCCACCTATAAGGAACAATTAAGGTATTGTTTGTAATTATTAGTAAACTTACATCTGGATTATAGTTGCCTTATTTCTCTGGATTCCACAGACACATACAGAATGGAAATGAAATTTTTAATTATGTCATAGCTATCCCTAGTGGTATGCTTAAAAGGGTTATGCAGTTATCTCCCTTGGCTGTGACGTCACAACATAGTTGTTGAAAACCTCATGATTTTTCTCAAGAAAAACTAACATCTTCTGCATCTCCTCGTGGGGAGTTTGGCGCGGGCATTAAATCCCATAATCCAGACGTAAGTTTACTAAAGTACTGTCGGAAATGCTAGAAAAATGCTTTAGACTTATATGTAAAATTCAGAGGTATTACAGTTACTTAAACAAATATCACTTCAAGAAACATCTACCTAAAGTAGACCGAGGGAATAAATTTTGAGACATGCTCTAAAATGTGTTCTTACTGATGAAAATACCAAAAACTTAGAAAAATAAGGGGTAGTCGGACGTAATTTGATACAAACATTAATTGCCTGTCACGTCATCAGCATCCACGGTATCGACAGGTGAAATTGACACCTGAGCACACGCTCGGGCGAGGGGTCATCTCAATAGATGTTTTCTGCAAAATGTTGAATATATGTACGTATAGTATACGTATCGGTTATGTAAGGGATCATTTGTGTATGTGTGTTTTTTATGAAATAAACATACGAATTACTGTACATTGGAAAGAATCCTATCACTTGTGTTATCTTATCGATTGATTGCAGAAATGTGGAACGTTTCAATAAATGTTTTGCATGTCAACAGTATATTTCATTGAAAAAATATGGATGTAATTCGGTCAGTTTAATCTAGTTGTGAACATTGGCCAAAGTTTTAACTAAGTCACTGGTGTAGCTTCTTTAGAATATATATGTTTCTTCTCATAATTTTTGTATACCGCCCGTATGAGCACTCTCTTGTCAAAGTTGTCAAGGATGGTTTTTCGTCCCGGTTTTGCATTTGAAACGGTCCCTGTCTTGTCTGATTTGTTTACAATATTGCAAACGTGTTGGTGAAACATGCCAACAGCTCTACAAGTTCTGTAATAAACCCTTTCTAAACTAATGAAAGGTTAACCTCTGTCTTTTTTAAGCAGAAAAAAACTATAAACCTTTGCAACAATCGTTGGCCATAGTGGACGCTGTGATAAAGATGTGCATGCATGACGGGAAACTTATTTATCAAGACTTAACATTTATATTAATATTTCTTCAATAAAGAAACGATAATTTAAGTAAAGTAACACAAACATTCACCATTTATTTGTTTAGGAAAAACGTTAATTCATAATTTTACACTTCCTGTATTATTAGCATAAATGTAAAGACTATTTCAGATTTCTGTTGATGAACTCCGAAAAAATCTGAAGTTGCTGTTTTGGTATCAAATTCTCTCCTGTAAACTGCCCTTTAAATGCATGGGAATATTAAATCGATTGAAATAAAAATTAGGTAGACAATAGGCGAGTTGATATATTGACAACATGGTACATTTATCACCTATATAAAGATATTAAGGCTAAAAAGCATTTTTCTAGAATTTCCGACAGTACTTTAATAATTACTAACAATACATTAATTGTTCCTAATTATAGGCGTAAACATTCCCTCTGGATTATGGTTGCCAGAATCACACATAAGGAAGGAGGGTTTATGCAGATGATGAATACAGCAATATCACTAATTATCCCGTTATAGTCTATGACATAACAATTAGGATAACTATGACTTAGGTGATGAAATGAATTATATGGATTACCTAGATCATTCCCTGGATATATACCAAAAGGGAAGGATCATACTCGTGAGGGAGAAATGTTTGGTGTTTGGAGAAGACTGACGTCACTTCCGGTCCAAGACGTCATATCCGGTTCTGTAATAGTCTATTTGACCGATTCTCATTGTAACCGGTTTCTGACGTCACTTCCTATTCGATTACCTCACTTCCTGTTCGATTACCTCACTTCCGGTAAGTGATTTTCAAGTCTTCTCGTATATTATTTAGCTGGAGTAATAAACTGCAGCGGATATAATAATTCCACTTACTGGTGAGAAATATTAATAGATACGGTTCTTCAAAGATCCTCATCCTTCCGTTTACTGTTAACCTGTTTCCTCCCTCACAGTCCAAGACAGTGAAACACTGCTGAGTTTGGATATATCTGCACACACACACCCTTCTTTTTCCCCCTCAAGGGAAAACAGGTGGAGGAGAGGCGCTGTCTGTAGGCTCTCTAAGGATGGAATGACGTTTCGCAAGAGATATTGTCCACCGGCATGCAGCAACAATCTGATCTATGGAAATGGACCCCCAAGCTGCAAGTGACGACATCCAGGCCCTGGTCTCATGCAGGGAAAACTATTTTGCACTAAGCTGGTGTTACAGTCATGGTAAACAAAGTGATGGTCCTCCTAAGCCAAGACGATATAGTATGCAATCAAGACCTCCAAATCAACAATTGTCTTGCATGAGATAAAAAGACAGCGGCAAATACGGCTGATATTGAGAGTACGTTGTAGATTTCATCTCAGAGCTCGAATAGGTCATAGGACTCTAGTTCTGTCTGATCTAGAGGCAAAGGTAGGGAATACTTGAATCTGGGATACTCTGTGCATGAGATACCGCTAGCAGATGCCCGATTCTTGGCAAGAAAAAAAACTGGTAAAGTGCTACAGGACAGCCAACCATAGCCTCCTGTAAAGGTGACTGACTAAAGTCTATGGCAAAAAATTCTGGTATTCTGGAACTGGAAGCTGTAGCAATAACAAGGAGAAAAACACCCCGTTAAGGAGAAGAAATGTCAAGGAAGTTCCTACATAGGTTTGGAAGAATTCTTGAGGGAATACAGAATGAGACATAAAGCCAACTTGGTGAAGATTGAAGGACTAGGAGCTGAAAAATAAAAGAAGAAATAAATAAAGAAAGCAGTAACTGGAATGATCTAATCGGCTTGTAGAGCAAGCTGTTAGAACCACTGCTAGTCCTGGTATATCCTAAACAGAAACGATTGCTGAGCTGTAGTCCACCATAGGACTGTTTCAGTGTCTTAACATCACGAAGATAAAGATAGAAATCCGCTAAGAAATCTGAATTCTCCTCAACATAAAAATTGGAGGATAGATATCAGAACACTGAAAAATATCCATAGATTGGTGAAACAATTTCCTCAGTGGATTGTTTTGGAAGATGTGTCTCCAGTCAAGAGGCGAGATGGTACTAGTGCTGCCGAATGGTCTAACACAAAACTCAAGTGTGAGTGGCATCGGAAAACTGCCTGAAAAAACAACATCCAAAGAGGAGTGGGCAAGCATCCCTCGTGGGC